AAAACCCACTCCTTTCAAAAGTGGCAAAACGAGGCGACAAAGTTGCTCTCCATTGATATGTTTGGATTAAAAAACAAGGGGCCGAGGGAAACACAGAGGCAGGCGACTTGCTGTGCAACTGCAGAAACTGCAGCATTGATTGAAAATAAATAAATTCGTTCAGCTTGATGGCCAAGTTGCTCTGGGGTAAAAATAAAATACAAAAAATAAAATAAAGTAAAGTCTTGAATAAGTTCCAAAGGGCTAAGAAGGCAAAAGAAACAAGTCGATTGGAGAACAGCGAACTCAAAGAAATCGCTCTCAAGAAATAATTTCAATGAGTTGTTTGTTCAACTGAGTAATCAAAATGAATTGGAATGCTGTGAATGAACTCAAAGTGGAGGATCTTTGTAAATTATACCCATGGAATTCAGATAGTTACGGTTCCAAATGATAATATGCTTTCTTAAATTTCATAATTTTTCCTTTAAATTCTTGTGGCCATTCGCTTTCAAAAGCTGTCAGTCGGACACACTTCTCGGAATTTCTTCAATCAATTTAACATCCTCTTTACATCAATTAAATTCTTCATTATGATTCAAGCGAAAACTCGTTGTGTGTGCTTGCTCATTTCAAAGGTTCCACTCACACATTAAATCATATTTCATTTTTGTGCGATTCCTCGAAACGATGTCCTCACACGCAAGGTTCTTGGTTGAGGTTCTTTTTTTTTTCTCCATATATACATTTTTTTCTCATTTTACACATCTCTGGTGGTGAGAGGTTGCTTTTTGAACTGACTGTGGGTCCTGTTTTACGTCCGCTTACATAAATGATATATCCCTAAGTGTTTGGCATGCATATTTAATGCCAGTTTATGGAGTATTTTACCAGCTTGCTCTGGATTATTATCCCCCACTTTGAGACATTGCAATTTATTGATTTACTTCGTGTTGAATATAATTCCCTTCGTTTTTCACAATTTTTTATCGAGAGAACCAGACAGACACCCGGTCCCCTGAATAAATGATGTTGAAGGGCTTAAGATTCACGATTCAAAGAGCAACATTAACATTTTCAAAAGACTTTCTGGGCCCTGTGAAAGTTTCTCAAGAATTCTGCGAGCCAAAGTCAAAATCAATTGGCTTGGATTTTGGATTTATGGTTCATTGACTTGCTTTCATGCTTATCTTTGTGAGTCTTAATATATTTTCCCTGCCTCTTGATTTAAAGACTCGAGCTTCTTTTCGGTTAAGTCATTTCGTTGGCAGCCGAAAACTTTCAATTGACGAACGATTATCGTATAAATTTTGACAGCATCTCTGAATTTTACATTATTTCCCTAATTATTGTCAACCAAACTTAAGACTTCTTGAATATTTCTTATCAAGGGCGGAATTTTTCCTTTACCTCTTGAGAAAAATAAATTTGAAAAGGGGAGATATATCACTAGTTTATCGTTCATTAAACCCGTTGAACAAGTGCAATGTCTCTTGATTATTTATTTTTTTTTTTTGTTTTCTCGCAGCGCCTGCACTTTGAACTCTTTCTGAGGTTTGCCCGGGAAATGTTCTTTGAGTTTTCCTGACTGGGTGTTACCCTTTTCCTTCGCTTTTCATGGGAGATGTTTGCTGCTTGTAATTGAATAGCCCCGGAGACTGTGGCTTACAATTATCTGCTGCTCGGTGGAAATGCAGGCCCCCCCTAGTTCTCACCTTCCCCCACCACTATGTCTTTTGGGTTTTCCCCCTTTGCCGCTTTTCCTCAATTGTAGTTGCCGCCTTTCCTTCTCTAATGGAGACTAATGAACTGCGGCGAGAGCGAGGAAAATCTGGGGGAAATCTTGTCTAGAAACAAGAGCAGGTAGAATCGTGCGTGCTCACAAATCTAATTACTTAAGATGATACGGATACATTTAATCGTAGTTCGGGAGAAGTTAAAGGAGTGCCAAAATATAAATGTTTAATGGAATCATGAAATAAAATCATTGTGACCTTAAACCCAAATTTTAAGCCAACAACTCTTACTTTAGAGTGGCATATCTTCGATTTCTTCAAAAATAAGACATGACTTGGTAAAGAAAGTGAGTTGATAAATTTTTTAACAAGTAGTCTATGACAATATTTTTGTGAAAAATAAATTTAGTTGGTCTCAATTGGGATGTACAATATTCAGAATCAACACACACCTCGGAGTGAGAGGTCCTAAAATATGGTTCGGAAAAAATAAAAAGTAAGATAAAGTGAAAATTATTAAAAGTGAAAAATACACAGTCAAAATACAGTCAATAGAATAAGAGGGGAAAAATTATAAATATTTTTTCTATTATTCTTTTTAGATTTTTTTGGACCTGGCATTAGCAAAAATGAAGATCAAACTATAAGACATTGGTAAGTGTGGACTAAACATCAAGGAATCAAAAGAAATTTTTATATTTTTTAAACCCTGTGCAGTCTGAGAAGCTGGATAAAAACTTAAGGTGAAATGACATTAATAAACCTTGGTTAGATGCCAAACGGAGGCCAAACTTAAAAAAAAATGGTAAGTACTGATTTAATGTAACAAAAAAATAATAAAACCAAATTCTATAGTAGGCCCTACGGCTATACGTTTCTGTTTTAAGGCCACAGGCTTTTTTCTGTGACAAAGAGATCTTAGGCCAAATGAGGCCAAATTAAGAGATGTAGTAAGTACTGATTAAATATTACGAAATCAAAAGTAATTTTTAATTGATATTCAATGTGCAGTCTGATGAGAAGAAAAACTCGGTCTCAAAGGATGGATCGGGGCGCTATCGATAAAAACTGATCGAGGCCAGAGAGCTTAAACTACGATTTGAAATCCAATTCATCGATTTCAAGTGTAAGGTGTTATTTTGATTTCAACTGTAACCTAGGACCCTATTAAATACGAGACACCGAGCAACATCTAATGTCGCTGGTTTCACCGGCATGCGAATTTACGAGGGACTCTTCATAATTCAGTCAGCTGATCTTCCGATTCCGTGGCTGTTTCGACCAGTTCAAATCAGCGATTTTATCGGGTCTAATAGACATCGAATCGGAAGATCGGTTGAATGAATTATTAGGGGCTCGTCGTAAATTCGCATAAAGCTGAAGTCCCCGCCGTAAAGGCTACAAACCTGCTGTGATTCGGAGCCCTCAACAAGTCATCTGCAAACAATACCAATATATTTGTAAACAAAATCAATTTTCCCACATCAACCGATTGTTAAACTCAGCAAAAATAATGTCAGAAAGGAAAAAATTCGGTTTAGTAATTAAAAATCCTTTCTGGCAGCAATTAAATCTGCCACACAGTCATGTAAAGTTGTTAATTTATGTTTGTAGAACAAATGTTTGCATTAATTTAAAATGGCAGAGGACAGCAGAATTTTGTTCAAACAATAGATGGCATTTACGAGGTTTTGCGCGGCATTAATTGATTTGGGCAATTGTACGAAAATATTTTGAATACACAAATTGATTTGCATAGATCCGGTAAAATCTGGTTACGTTATCCACTTTAGGGTGTTTTTTTTTAGCCAGACTGAAAATGGTATATTTATGTCATCTATGCTTACTGTGTGGTTGGTTTTCGGGTCATTTGGGTCACTCCCTTTTGGAAAAACAAAAGGCCACAACAACACAAACATTGACCCACATTTCAATTTATTTTATTTGCTGCGGGTGTCGTTGCGGAGCATTCGTGATTTGTGCCAGAAAAACACAAATGAAAGTCATAAATTTTTTGGCGAAACATAGCCACCGTGGTGGGGCTGTATCTCCCTCTTAACAATACCATTTTTTTGGGCCATCCGGAAAATGAATGGATGTAGGTCACAGGGTAAGTAATGTTAGTAATTCTAGGATATAAGGCCCGCAGACATTCACAAGTCAAATCAGCGTCAAGTTCGCGGCTCAACGTTTCAATTAAACTAAGTTCGTGGCAAATGTCTGAATTGCTTTTTGCTATTTTCTATTTTAGTTCGATTTGCCGGCAGACGGGAGCCAGACAAGTCACGTTTTCTTTTTCAGCGCCAAGAGCTATATATGGTAATGAATTGGACGCAGATCTATACTCTAAAACGGAGGGGTATTGTGCTGTTTTTTAGTTTCTCAAAGGAGATGTCAAGTACCTTAAAAGAGCGCTTGTGATGGGTCTCATTGGGCATCAATTCTAAATGAAATATTCCCCTTAATTTTTTTTGCTTTAGTTTGGTTAGAGTATTATTGTTTTAACTCAATTCTTCGATGATTTTGCATGGCAGTCGACGCCAGTTTTTTAATTGAATATTCAAAGCACAGACAGCGCACATCGAATTGATGGACAGGTCTCTTGTGGGTGCGACACACTCGATGACAGGAGCGGATGAAGGGGGCCCCCATTCAGCCGAGAACAAATAGGTAAAGGGGGGGAGATTCGTTCTCTATTCAAAGTGTAAATATTTGCAAAACGACTACTGAAGTCGAGAGATGCAGCTGGAGGCCGGAGATCCGTGATCGCGATCGAGATCGGGGAAATGGAGGAAGCCGAGTGTTGTTGATGGTTGACCAACAAATTGGTCACGATCGTTAAGCAAGACGCCTATTGTAATTGTTTGTGTGGCTCGGCTTGGAACTTGGGATCGTTTGCAGGTCATCCACCCGGGCCCCGGAGCACAACAGATGCATTTACGACACAATATGCACATACTATATAGTTTATAATATATATATTGGAGCGCCACGAACATGGGGGCGTATGTACAATATGGCAAGTTCAATGCAACGGAAGTGCCGCAATTGTCAGGAGTGGTTTTTAGTGTGGTTCCATTGACGGAGAACCGAAAAAGGAGTGTTTGGCGGTTACTCCTCAAAAGGAGTTTTCGGGTCAGAACATTTCCCATTTCCATAGATTTCGTGAGAAAAAGCCTTCATATTACTCTTACAATACTAGCAGCTTCACTATTATTTCCGCCTCATCTGTGGCTTGACGGAACCACACAATGTGGGTGGTTTTTACGGCGGTGGCGTACTTACATGGCCATCATTGTCTTCTAATGTCTTGCCAGCTTTTCTTACCTGCAACGAAAAAGAGGTAGGGGTTAAATAATTATTGCAGTTGCAACAGAGAGGAAGTTTCGCCCGTGGGCGGCTAACAACAAAGTTGCAATTGTCTAAGTCGAAGTTCTGCAACTTCTGCCACTTGCTAATGTGTGGGGCCAACTTTTTACGAGTATGGCTGAGTATAAAAATAGTTACTGCCAGTAGTTAAATCCCTGCACAAAATAGTATTCTACCGTTTGCCCCAGTAATGCAAAAAGTTCCCAAGTACTTGGGTGTACAAAATAGGAATTAGGAATAGAAATATAGAGTAAAATATTTGTGTTAATATCACACCCAAATCAAGTATCTTTTACTTTCCAATTGAAGAGGACCATTAATGCCGTAAACTCGTATCATTTATTTCCATTACAACTCAACTTTTGCCAACAATCTTTGAGGATAATCTTTTGTTGCACAAAACTTTAGTGTTTGCTTTTCTGCTCCTGACTTGGCAAACTTTACTTGAAACTTTTCTCGAATTTTTTATGATTGTGTGGCAAATCCCCCTATAATCATAATCAGCTCATATGCAAACATTGCTGAAACCATACAGCAACTACCGTGTGGGTGTGCCCCAACTCTTTCGGAGGCAGCTCCAGTGGTGCGTCTGCAACTTGTTGAGTCATTCAAGTGTTTAGCATTCAAGTGTCGGCCTCCAGTGGAAAACGAGTCATCAATCATCGACCGAAAAACCAACTAAAAACATGCTGCCATGTTGCCATTCTGCCTGCTGCCTGCAACAACTATGTATGTTGCACGAACGATCGTTGCGAACAATGTATGGATTTCAGTCTTATGACAAGTGAAATGGCACTTAATTGGCAAGTTAATGTAATGTATAATATTAAAACGGCAAAAGGCTTCCCAGGCCTATCAAGCCACGTTTACATTGTTGCTTTGTTGCAACTTTCACGCCAACAATTCCAACCCGACAACAAATTGTTGCATTTAATCTGCCAATTTCTAAGTAAAGCAAAAAAAAAAATAGAAAATTATTGAGGTGCCGAAGATTAAAAAACGCTTCAACTGTGGGTGGCCATGGCAGCAGACTTGCCTTAATTTAATTAGAGCCATGAAAAGATTGCCGCTATGAACATTTCAAATTGTTTTCAATCAGCAGAAAAAATAGCAGAAAAAAGTGGAAAAACGCCAGCAACACATGTCGCTCCAATTTTCCAGCTTGGTTTTTCCTTTAGTTGGCTTTTCTGGCCTGCTAAATGGTTTTTAATTGCCCAGAAAATCGCGAAGCAGCTGGCAAAAAAAATGACAAACAAAAACCCAGACAATTGGCCAATAGAAACACATATAAAACTAGTTGAATTGGCTAATTGCTTTTTGGAGATTTTTTTCGCCAACTTGATTTATTCTTGTCAAAATTTTTTAGCCTTTTTGTATCCCCCCCAATTATTCAATTTGGAAGGCATTGGTGTCAACTGCTATTAAGTAACGCTTCCATAAAATATTCAAACTTCGTTTAGAAAGTGCGTGCTGGGTAACGCCTACAATTTTTTTTTATGACTGACACAGCCAATCCCCACAGTGCACTCCATAAATTATGCAAAAGTGTCGAAGCGATTATGTGATTATATTCCCGGGGTTTTTCTCCAGGCTTTTCTCTAGAGAAACAGAAATAGATTTAAGTCCCTTTCTTTCTGCGCCACGCGACAATTAGCACTTCATTGACACATGTGCGACAAATGGAGTGAAAAGAATGAGAAAGGGCGACACGGAAAGAGTGAGACAGGAAAAAGCGCACCCAGTGTCCCATAACCGAGAAATGGAGCATTTTATGCTCCAATAAAAATAATTAAGTGGCGTAATTGATAATGAATTTTTTCCTCCGCTGTTCGTTTCGGTAGAATTTTTTTCCCTTCGTTTATTTTTTTTAAACAATTTCATGTCATAATTTTGTGAATTTATGACATAATTTTTCGAAGGCGTCGCCAGTGAGTAAACGATGTCTCTTTTTGTATTTTTTTTGTTCAGCGTGATGATTTTATATACGATTCTGATAAGCTTTTGGACCGGAAAGTGGGTGAAAAAAGTTCGATGGGGAAATGCAAATGAGATTGCAGCTAATTGCTGGTGTTTGGGAAAGCGATTAGGAATAATGGAATGTATTAATAATCAAAATATAATTAGTTATTTTGTATGGTAATATTATTATCATTATTTTGGATTATCTGTGTAAGCTGGAGTTTCAAAATTTTTAAGCCTAGATCTCTAAAGCATTTTTTATTTACTTCTCTTTTTATATCCATTAAGAGTGTGGTTATAATTTATATTGTGCTGACCAACAATCTTTATTTACGCTTGCAATATTGGCAACTTCAACAAGCTCGTAGATCACTTTAATGGCATTCAGTCTGTCTCTTTCGGGTCTGCATTTTCCCTCTCTGTCGTCGGTTGCGGAATCTGAGTGCCCTGTCCCTCTCTTTTAGCCATCAAATACAGCCGCTCGAATCACTCTGGTCTGGTAGTAGTCATTCGAGTGGCGGGACGGGGGCGTGGCAGAAGTTCAACGGTTCGACAGAGCACTTGATACTTTTTATGTTCTTGTTGTCATTGCACGTTGCATTCTGTACTTGTCAATGGCACAGCTTGAACAAGTTTTTTCTTTCCTCAATTTTTTGTATTTTTTTTTTTCACTTTTTCACTTTTTTTTGCGAACTTGACTTAGTCACTGTGTACACAACTGTACAACAAACAAGAATCATGCTGGGAATTGTTGATGCACTCGACAATTTCCAGGATACGCTTGAAAAGAAATCCTGAGTGAAGTAAAAGTGAATCAGAGTGGCAGCTGAGCGGAAATCTAGTTGAATCAATGTTCAAGTCTCAATCAAAATGAAATAAGGTACAAACTACCGAGGTGTTGAAGAAGATGCTTTCAAAACTAAAGAATTTTTCAAGGCCCTTCATAGAGCTTTTTCACTAATCGAATCAATTTAAATCCCGATTAGCAAACAAAGACTTATCCATTCAAATGAAGGGGAAAACACCCTCTTTCTCTTTGTGAATAACCCCATAATTTATTGAATATTTCCAATTCATGACAATAAATCTCGTTTCGTTTTTCCCTCCCAAAACAGAAGGTCAAACGGATAAATACTAATTAGCAACGCCCACTTTTGATTTCTATTTCTTTTCGAATCCATTTCAAAATGTATCTGACGAGTGCATAACTTCTCCAGTGCCCACTCGAAGTTCGATTTCGATTTCGTTTCCACTCACATTGATTGTAAATACTTGTGTCCAACTTGAGTTAGTTACAAGTGCTGCATGTGGCACTTTTTTTCTCAGCCATTGTTTATTTTTTTCTTTGTCCGAAGGGTCTTTGGTTGGAAATCCCCTTAAATGCCCTGAAAGCTGGGAGCGTAACCAAAGTAACAAGGCAGTTGGGGTCTTAAAAATCTCTTAAGGTTGTTGTTTTGCCTTGCTGTTGTTTTCGTTTTAGAGTTTAGACTATTGAAGGTAAAGTTTGGTTATCTTTCAGATCAACAACATTAGAATTCCTCCTCTACTATTATACTATTAGCTGCTGTAACCCCAACATGCCAACGTGCTCCATAATTTTCATAACCCACAATTATCATATCAAAATTCAATGAAATTCCAGTTCGTGTCCCACATGGGAACCTAACCAAGTTGAACTGCCCAGCGTGTGACCTCCACACAGATGGACACTCGTCACTGGAAACCATAAACCGAAGCACGAACTCTGACCTCTCGTCTACACGATATCATTTCACTCCACTCCGCCACTCCTTTGATCAATTAGAGGGCTGGAGACATGCACTTGGTTCATGTCAAATGCACTTTTCAGTTTTTTTTACACTGAGAAAAATCTATCTAGCTTAAAGAAAAAAGATAAGCAATTTTTTACAGGCTTGGGTAAGTTTGGTAGACATTCTTAGAGATGTTTCCCAGACATTATTATTTATTTTTTGTTAAATTTCTTTCAAGTGCACATTAAAGTGGCGCCTCGAAAGCATACAGAACACGAGGGAAGTGCTTATGAGATGGCAGCGGGGATTTCCATCCGAGGCATGCAACAGGGTCAAAAGAAGGGGAACCTCTTCAACCAGGGGCGGCAGGGCGTTTGAGTTACGAGCGGCGTCTATAATTTGTTCGAAGACACTGCGTGTGTGACACACTCTAAGCTGTCAGCATTTGATGGCTCACGGTAGCTACATATACTTCATGGCACTCCCATGCCACATACCTCTCGGTATGCCCCCCGCTCGGTTCTGCCCCTTTCGAACCCAATTAAGCAATTTGTGGCTGACCATCATCGTCATGGAAAACACACGCAGACGCACACGCCACAAAAAAGTCAAACTAATCTTGGCCAGCTTCGGGTTTAATGGCCAGGAATAATTATATTTTACTGACGATAATAAAAATAATTTTCACTTTGTGACCCAAAGGGCACTAGTTGACATTTTCCATCATAAGTGAATAATTTTTTTATGTTTGATCGTTTGACTCGAAAGTGAAGGTTTTTATGACCGTTTATTAGATAAGTAATAGTTTAGGAATTATAAATGGTTTTTTATGGGTTGGGCGGGGCAAAATAGGTCAGAGATCTCAGATCTCCAGAGATAGGAAATTTGATAGAGATATAAACCGATTTGGATTTGGGAAATCATAATTGATAGAATAGGGCTAATAATCGAGTTTCAAAAAGGGAAAGTTTATGGGAATCGAATTAAAATCTTTATGACCAAACGGCAACGGTTTTGATTCTAAGATTCCCATAGATATTTCATGAAATTTGCACCTAATATATTCTAAAGTTTATGAAGTTTCCATGACATTTATGAGTTACTCAACAAAATCCACTCAACAACTTTGCCGATTCTGGCCGCGAACTTCAAGCTGAACTCAACCTGCTCGTGGCACTCTAAAGTCTGCACCAAATTTATGGCTGGTTCTACTTAGCCCAAGTCAAAAGCGTAGCTGTCATAAATTTT